CGGGGCCGTGAATCACAGAATCGCTCAGGTTGGGTCATCCGGCCCCACCATCGGCCCAGCACCCCCGCACCCTCTAGACCTCAGGCACCACGTCGACACGCCCCGTGAACACCGCCCGGGATGGTGACTCCACCGCTTCCCTGCGCAGCCTGTTCCAGCGCCCGACCGCTCCCTCAGTGAGGAAGCTTTTCCTACTATCAACCTAAACCTCCCCTGACGCAACGTGAGGCCGTTTCCTCTTGTCCTGCCACCAGTTACCCGGGAGAACAGACCAGCACCCACCTCCCGACACCCTCCTTCCAGGGAGCTGCAGAGAGCCATCAGGGCTCCCTCAGCCTCCTCCTCTCCAGGCTGAACACCCCCAGCTCCCTCAGCCACTCATCAGACTCGTGATCCAGACGCTTCCACAGCACTGTTCCCTTCTCTGGACACGCTCCAGCATCTCTGTGTCCTTCTTGGAGTGAGGGCCCCAAAACTGAACACAGCACTCAGGGTGCAGCCTCACCAGGGCCCGGTACAGGGGCAGCTCCCTCAGCCTCCTCCTCTCCAGGCTGAACACCCCCAGCTCCCTCAGCCACTCATCAGACTCGTGATCCAGACGCTTCCACAGCACTGTTCCCTTCTCTGGACACGCTCCAGCATCTCTGTGTCCTTCTTGGAGTGAGGGCCCCAAAACTGAACACAGCACTCAGGGTGCAGCCTCACCAGGGCCCGGTACAGGGGCACAAGCACTGCCCTAATCACTCCCTCAATCAATCCATCAATCGTGCAAACCCACGACTCACGATCCAGTCTCGATGACAGCAGCATTAAAGCACAGCAATTCACACTTAAAAACCATTTTAAAGCTGCTTATGTTGTCTGCAGCTTCAGTTTTGAGCGTTTCAGTGAAGATACTTAGGCACAACCCCGAGGGTGATGCCGGTGCCAGGCCAGGTCCCCGGGCAGAGGCCGCGTGCTCTAGCTCCCTCAAAGCATACAGGAGACTCGTTAAAGCAATAACCACAAGAAGAACTAAAGCAATAACCACAAGAAGTAGTAAAATGTGAAAGTGCTCCAGAGCGCAAAATATTTTATTTAAGAATTTACAGTGTCAAATCTTACACTTAGGAAAGATAGCCGCTCCCAGCTCAAAGGGAGCCTTCTTGGATTAAGTTGTTTGGCAGTCTCTACTGAAAGGAGAAAACAATCAGCAGCCTGGCTGAACTAGAGGAGAGCCAAGTGTCTGACTGGGTTTCAGTTATAGAAAAGTAAACCACGCTGACTGCTGCTGACCACGTCTGGAACTGAGTACGGACCATTACGCGAAGGTTTCTAACCCCCCCCAAGCAGCATTTTGCTTCGGTTACATACAAACCTTTTAGGACAAAGGTAAGGCTCGAGATGTTGGAAAGGTGGCATTATTCAGGAAGAAAAAAAAAAAGAAACCACAATTGGGGACCAACACTGGCAATTTCACATTCACATTATTTCTACTCATGGGCAGAAATTCAAGTAAAAATCAAAAAGTTTGGTGGCAAGTTCTAAATAAAATATGGCCTAATGATTTAATAAATATTTAAGGTTTATTTCTCTCTTTGCAGATAATTCAGATTCTTCAGTGAATACGAATGTTGCATATCACGGTTTTCAAGATTTCCTACATTAAACCTAAAAGTCCATCCACAGAGGTCTAAACCATCTACTTTTAGCATGCTGGAAATTCAGCTGTTAGCAATTTAAGACCTTGGTTATTCAGTAATGGAAATTCAAGAACAGAGTATTATGCTGATTCTGGCACCCAAGAGGAAAAAAACCCCTATCTTTCAAGCTGTTCCCACCTTAGCTGTAGAGTGCCAGCAGCTGGAGAGAAAGCAAGTAACCGTATTGCACTTAAAAGAACACTCACTCCTCAAACAGTACAGCATTGGCTATGATACAGAGAGCTTCTTCCAGACTATACAATTTGCTTTACAAGTAGTCTAAACCACAAACTACATACATACTAGGTAAGATCCAAATGAAATTAGCCTTAGATTACAGTCACAGTTTTCATTCAATAAAGGTCAATTTATTTGGATGAGCTGTGGCCCCCTCCCCCCGCCCCCCTTCAGAAAACAACCCAGCATGAGGCATCTCCCCCCCAGCCCCGCCGAACGTCTCCCATTTCATACACCGACAAACCCAGCCCTGTTCGATAAGCGTTACAATTGTGCATGGTCCTCTTAAGGCCACAGAGTGTGAACTTACAATGTGGACATGTTTTTTCCCCTGCTGGGAGGGGAGCATCCTTCAGAAATTAAGGAATCCCTGAAACTACGCCTTCGAAGGTCACACTAGTCGGTTTAAAATAAACTTAAGGAATAAATTGCCTATGCAATTTACAGGTTTTGTAACAGACAGCAACTATTTCCTCCCTTGTGTCTATTCTTTATCACAGCAACGCTATCTCTAGCCAGGTTTTTTAAAAGGAAAAGTTACATACGTTTCACGTTTGGTAATGATTTGTGTAAATGAGGTGCAGGTAGGGAGACCCATGAAAACAATCACCCACCGTTACATTTCTGCCATGTCAACTGCAGCTAGTACTGATACCACGTGCCGTAAGAGCAGAGAGTTCTTTGTATACTCAGACACAAGCGAGAATTCCAAATACAAAGCCACTGTATTCTACTTCAACGTCGGGTACTTCCTCTGTCCAATTCTTCCCAGTCTTGAATTTCCAGTGACTGCGGGAGACTGAAGAAGAGAGGAGAGGAATAAAAACGCTCTGTAAAGTGTCATACTGGAGACAAAGTACAAGTTGGCAATAAAGTTTCGAAGGCAAACCTCGACCTAAAACGTGCCAGACTGGACTGTGCAGGTTTAGCACTACACGCAACGGTTCAGATTAAGCTAGCAAAACTGGGTTTGTTCAGAGGAAAGATGAGGCCGCGACTCACTTGTGCGAACTGGGATGGATTGTAGCACGGCACCATTCCCGCTGAAGGTCCCCCCGAGGGCGGCAGAGCGGCCGGCTAGAGAGTAGATAATGCAGAAGTTACAAAGTGCAGAGCTTCGCTGCCTCTCAAACGTGGTTTTGCTTAGTCATACATAGCAAATATTCACAGTAATAATGCCAACCACATGGACAGCGCAGCATATTGTAACAACTGCAAAAGGTGCCGGTACGGTTTGCATCCGCATCTTTGGGATCGCTTAACGTAGGAACTGGCAAAACAACGTCACATGCATAAACTGTAAATAGCTCTGAAAACCCAAAGCATGCAAAACCAAAGCAAGACACCGGCGTGACTTCACTGAATTAGTACCTTCTGCTTTTGTTAGTAGACCTTAGGGCTTGCCCCAAAATAAAACATTCTACGTCAAGTTTTGCTTTACTAAGAAATATCAGAAAGAGCCGGTGTCACCCTTTTACGGTGACCACATGGTACTGGAACTTAGAACACAGATGAAGCATTCCTTTAATTCCTACAGGGGCTTTTGCAGATGAATCAGGCCATGGTATTACTACTGATTTGAGACTGGCAGCAGCAGAATGACAAGGTTTTGCTTGTGTGTGCCTTTTTAGGAGGGTTTTTTTGTCTATTTGTTCAAAATCAGACTTCTTTGGTATACCAGGGAAGAGTTGATCAAAATTATTAAGTGAATCTCGTAGGAACATGAACATAAACAAAGAGCATGCCTGGATTACATGCATTTGTATAAATACAAAAACCTCTGAAGACCCTGTTTGAGTGTTAAAAGGAACACTACATCATTAGTCACTTTTATGTCACTTCTGTGAAATGAGAAGAGAGGGGAAACGGCTAAAATAGCATTAGTAAGTATTTGAGCAAATGCAAAATAAAGAGGGGGAAAAGTAAATAAGTGAACATAAATGAGAATGGCCAGCCACATGTACCTGATTAAAATGCTGGCTTACTTCACGCGATAATGAACTCATTGAACTAGAGCGCGAAAGCTACAAAACAGCAAGAACACACAAATACAAAAAAAACAAATAAAAAAAGTCGTCATGCATGTCACTGCCTCAAGCTTTCAGTTGTTTTACTTCATTTTAAAAGTCTCACTGCCAAAGGTTAAACCAACTTCAAGTTAAAAAAAAAAAACAAAAAAAAACAACAAATGTAAAGCCAGAAGTTAGTTTAAAATCAAACAGACTTCTTAAAGCACAAAATTACGTAGCTATAGAAAACATTTAGTAGGAACAAAGGCAATGTTACCCTGCCTGGCACGCAGCAACCCACTCTCCTCTGTGTGTCTTGCACTTAATATTAGTGAAATTACATGCATGCACGGAGGCAACAAGAGATCCTGAAACTGCTATTGACATATTACTCTGAAAAAGGCTTGTGAAAATCCGTTTATACAGAAAAAGGAGATGACACCACAGAATGTAGGACACTGAGGCTGAATTTCATATGGACTTAAGAGGTCTTTTCTGTACAATTCTGGAGGCAGTCATATGCTTCCATCTTGGCCAGTCACCAGCACCAGTCACTTGTTGGTTTAGAGGGCCCACGTGAAGGCCACTACAAATTCAATGGTTAAAATACGCTGCAAAGGTCATCAGCTAACTGTGAACCAAGCCTTACCTCGCCTGATTGAGAGCCGTCAGGGTTAGAAACGGGAAGTCCAGATGCAGGAGGAAGGACCGCAGGGTTTAAATACTAAGGAAAAACAGTGCACCTTTATCTTCGTTACTGCGATGCTATTTCAACATTTCTGCTATACTGATCCCACTGAAGCAAAGAAGTGGGACAATACATCAAGCCAGGTGAAACATGCAGCGTGTGGCTACTTCTTACATTCCTGGTCCCTCTCCTGACACATCCTGCACCCACAGGACCTGCAGCCCTGCCAAATGAGGAACTACAACATTCCATGGGCTTCTCACTTCCATTTTCACTTGCTTTTCCCTTCTCCAGTTCTTAACTGTTACACACAAACGTAATCCCTACAACACCATGCTGTGTACGTACTGTGGCTGTGAGCCTGTTAGAGTCACGAGGGGGTTTTAATCGGAATTCTGAATTATTATGTGTTGAGAAGCCATCCTTCCTAACCCACCTCTGGTTCAACGGCCGCAGCAGGATCTGCGTTGGTTTGATTCACAGCTGGTGTGTGCTCTGCTGCACCACTCCCTTCCATCGGCTGGGGTTCCCCTGGAACTAGAGAGGGAACGGGATTTAGCCAAACACACCACACCAGGGTGTTTGACTGCACAGGATGCGCAGCAGCAGCACTGAATTTCTACACTACCAATCTTCTCCCAGAAAAGGGCCATTTCAAGAGGGTAGTGTCAGTGTCTCTAGATGCCTCAGTCTTGCTACAAGTCTGCAAGCGGGAGATGAATCAAGTTCATACAGATAACCTCGGTGAAATGCGGCGCGCAGCGAAAGCAGGAAAGAAAAGACGATAAGCAAGTGTAAGACCTCCCCCTTTAAATAGATATTTGGACCCGGCATCAGGAGTACAGGATACCGAGCAACACAGGAACACTACACAGTGCCAGTTTAGCCATCTGATGGCCTAGCCACCTGCACTAGGGGGAAAAAAGGCAAAAGAGAACCTGTTTGCAGCACGCAGAGCTGGGCTTTACTAACCCACTTGTTTCACTGCAGTCCCCAGACTGGCATCTAAAACACACTGCAGTTAATGAGACTGCACATTCTTACACATTCCTTAAAGGCTACATACCACACACGCTGGCAAAAGTGACTTAGATGACCACATAACCATGGATAACCCTACCACCTCATCACAGTTCCATCCACCCATGACGCACCTGAGTTGGGAACAAGTATGTTGGCAGGAATTGGCATTGGGGCCAAGGGGGCAAACAGGTCTGATGGTGCAGGAACAGCACCGCTTGACTTGGTTCCACTCGGATTCAGGACATCAACGTAACGGGCTCTGCTTCCAGCTACAACCGAAGAATCCAGAAAGAAGAGAAATAAGCCTTGTGTCCAGCCATCCCCAGTGACTGTTACCAAGAGTCTGCTGCCTAAGCCATCTTTCGGAGTCGGAAAATAATGCGCCAGGGAGAGAAACAATACCCAAGTGACGAAGACTTATCCCAACGTGGAAGCTAGCCACAAGCCAGTAATAGTCACAGCTCCACAATACCACTGAGTTCCCAACTGCTCCCAGACAGATCCAGAAAAGCCAGGACTTCTGCCTTCACATTTTAAGCAAGAAAAAAAGTCTTCCTTAGTTCAAGCATCAATGTTGTCTGTTACCTGCTCTCCTGGAGAACATGTTGACAGGTGCACTAGGGGGGCCTCCAGGTCCAGGGGCAACAGCCTGAGGAACTTTAGGAAATCCTGTTGGAGGAGGTGGCGGAGGTTTACTCTGCAGGGAGAACAAGAAAATCCAGCATCTTCCACTGAGAATTTTAAACCAAGTCTGACTTCTCCTTGTCCTTCCCTATTCCAGAGCACACAAAATTACGTACACAGACATACGTCGTGCAGCACAGACCAATATTCCTCATCTTCCATCTGATAACTAATGCCAAGGCATTGCTACAACCCATCTATGCTCACTCTAAAAGGAAACACTTACAAGAGTAGTTATCATCTGTTTGTTTGTGTTTTGAGACCGATCCTTGAATGACAAGGACAGACATCATGATGTGTGATTTTCGCTGCTTTACAATGCATTACATTTTCAAAACTAGACTTTTCCAACCTTTTCCCCCCTGTATTCTGCTTGCAGCAAATCAATTAACAAGTGATTGCCTAGGTGATGTCAACCTCTATGAAGGGATACCCCCAACTCAGTTTGGAGTAGATTTCCTTGTAAATTCAGTCGCAACTATGGATCCACACCAGCAACTGAAGAGACAGATGGTTCCATAAGCATGTAGGCTATAAGAATGTACAACCTGTTGCACATTTTAATCCAAATTCAGTAAAAGCCAACTCTCAGTAGCCAATAACAGATTAAAGAAAATTGTGTGCCAATACAGATTTCAGTTTTCCACTTGGAGAAGTAACAAGTCCTCAGATTCTTACCTCTTCTTCTGGTTCATCCAGATTAACCCAGCGTTGTTTCTGTTCATCCCAAACAATCTACAAGGAAATCACAGTCAGAAATTAAGAGTTCAAACACAGCTGTTAAGCCATTAAAAAAAAAAAAATCATAACTTTTTTAAAAAGCCATTCCTGGAATAAGCAGAATATTGAAGGTTTTACACTCATTTGTTTACTTGTCAAAACAATATTTGTCTGTCATCCAGGAAAACATTTTGATTCGTGATAAACATTGAAATGTCTAAAGGTTTTTGTGATATAGGGGCCTTACTGATTTGTTCTTGTCATCTGGAAGGTGAGCTTCATTCTTTCCTTTTCCCATCAGCCAGCGAAACCAGTTTGCACCAGTCTAAGAATAAATTGATCTATTCAGTTAATTATCTCAACACTGTCTTTACCGGCAGATTAAAAGAAAGTTCATGTAACAAATCATTTTCTGTTAGGGACTTCAACTCTCAGCCCAGAGTTGCACCTAATAAATGGAAACAGGTTAGTCAGGATCTCTCAAACCAGCGCCCTGGACCAGGAGTTCCCATGTGCACTGACAGATCTCCTCTACTTGTAGCTACCTTTCTTAGCAAGTTTACCTTTCTAGGTGCCGACTCCTTTTTTGTTTCCTTTTTAGTCTCTTTTCCTACAGGAGCAGAGGGAGGAGGAGAAGGCTGTTTTGCTGCAGAGTTGGATCTCTCTCGTCCCACAGAATGAGCAGAGGACTCTGAAGTTGTTCGGGATCTTCGCCCATAGCCCTGTATTATAAATACATGAGAAAGTACATGGTTGACACTGCTGGAGTGATGGATTACACTTCATCCTGCTAGACAAATTCCTTCTTCGAAAAGTCACCAACACAAAGAGACACAAAAGCACATGAAAAATAAACATAAATGAGAATGAAGACTTAGTGAAAGAAGCAGCCTGCTCATGTCATACCATATGTGCTGAAGACTGAGATGCAGATCTGGATCTTCGTCCTGGTGCCTGGTTAGATATAAAGCCAGGACATGCTTAATAAGAAAGCAGCTAATTATCTGACACAACATTTACTTTTTATCAGGAATTCCCACATATTAAAGCTGGTTATTTGGGTACTTCTATCTCCTCTGACATGCAGGAGATGCAGAAAAAGAACTGAAGTCTGGCCAAATAATTGCACTGTCGTGTAACTGGTCTGTTAAAGAGTTAAATGAGGGAGCTGCTGCACGGGCGAGCCAGCCCACTAGAGGAAAGAAAAATGAGGGCCTCACTCACTGTATGCTATGAGTTCCTCTGGCTACAAAGTCATTCGGGGAGATGGGAGAGGAAGGCAGAGCAGAGGAAGATAAACTCTTCAAGCAACAACCTGATATCCCCACCACTACTTCATAAAAAATCATTTTTAGAGAAGAAAATCATGGGTAAAGTTTTTCTGCTAGTTCATTATTTATTCCACTGAAGGGGAAGGACAGTGGGGAAGAAAAACTAAGCTTCAAGTCTTGCTGAAGATCAAGACAGCATCCCAAAATACTCCTGATCTGCAACGCGGCTGACGCTTGCTGAAGAGATGTACGAGATAAAGCTACCATGCTAGCCATTCTGCCGTAGAAATCCTCCTCTCTCTGGTCAGGGA